CCATCATTTGATTCACTTTATTAATAAGAGATTCAATAATAGTGAATAAACTCTATACATTAATAATATATCAAATATAATTTTTTTATTTTTTTTATCTACTTTCAGTGGAGACCACGTTCTTAACAGGGACTCGAGACCCCTTGTAGTGAAAATTAAATAAAAGCTACAGCCTAAAATATTTGCTAACTTGGACATCACCTTTATTAATATTCGTATAGTTATGCTTTGAATAATTGAATCCCATACTAGTATTGTAGACACCAACAAAATTTATTGTAACCCTTCATTGTTTTTGTTTGGCACTACTGCAAAGACACATGCTGCACATGAATCTGTTTGGTAGGAGGGATTTTGTCTGTCCTGTTACTCTTACTAATTTTATTGTCTGCTCAAGTAGTAGTAAATTTGTATTTGTTTTAGAACTCCGAGAATTTAATTGTCGGAAGAATTGGACCGTTGTTGACCAGCCTCAACGGTTTCCTAGAAAGCATAATTAGACGAATCACCACCATTGCCTTACTGACTCAAAAGAGTTCAAGCAGAAATACTAAAAATTGTTTCTGTTCATATTGCTCCCTGGAGTTTCTTATCTAATTTCCTCAAAGGAAAATTTTCTGGTTTCGTTTCTAATTTGGATCTCTAGAAGTGGTGGAAAGAGCTCCCCAATAGTCCTCACAGCTTTATTTCAAGCGACATAAAGTCTCATTGCTTGTGAAATTTCAAAATATCTCAAGTACTTAAAAAGAGAAGATAATGAATTATTATTTTCATAACTGTAATTTAATTTAATAAAATAATATTTATAAAAATATTATTATTTAATTGCAAGAAGAAACAAAGAAAATAAGAGAACCTAGTTATTACAACAATCTCATTTTAAGCAAAAATAGGAAATTTAAGTTTTTAATGCAAATAGATGAAAAACAAAAATTTGAATAAGTTAAATGACAATTGATCAAAGATCCATTAAACTGAAAATAAAGATTCACCGACAAAGAAGTAAAAAAAAAAAAAAAAAAAGAAGACTCGTGACAAAGAAAAAGGTAAAAAGAATGAAAACTGTAGAATTTGATTTGATTTTTGATTAAATACAATCTTCCAAAGTTGAAAAAAATTCAAAAATATAGAATAAAAAAATAAAAAAGAAGAAGATGAAGACTATTATCTAACACTAGAATATTTGAAGAAAATACTTCTAAATAGAAAATTTTAAATAAAGAAATTAAAATTAGACATTTCTCAATTGTAACTTCAGGTTAAAATTTTTTATATATTTATTTGTAATTTGAATGTAAATTTACATTTTTAATTTAATCTAATTTTGTATTATAATGATTTATTGTATTTTATTTTGATAAAAATTATAAAATGAATTATTATATTATAATTTAATCAATAACCAGGAGCATAAAACATGAAAAAAAATAGTAGAAGAATAATGCTGCACCTATAATATTTTTATTTTGGGTTTATGTTTAATGTATTGCCAGTATATATATTCTATATACTGTTAATAAATTAAATAATATTCTCTCATTAACAAGTAAATATCAGTTTTTAAAATAAATATATAAAAATTAATATTTTTTTTAAAAATATTTATTAATGAGATATCATCATTTAATTTATCTTATTAATGAAATGACATTTAATTTAATGACAATGAGTAAAATTTATATATTAACAGTATATTAAATATAAAACATGAAAAAATAGTAAGAGAATAATGCCGCCCTTATAACATTTTTATTTTTAAATTTATATTTAATGCACTGTTAGTATATAAATCATTTATATTATCGGTGAATCAGATGATATTACCTAATTAATGAGCAAATATCAATCTTGAAAGTAAATATACTAAAATTAACATTTAAAAAAAACTTATTCATTAATGAGATATCATAATTAGATTTATTTCATTAATAAAAAGACATCATCTAATTCAATATTAGTGAATAAAATATATACATTAACAATGATATCAAATATAATTTTTTTATTTTTTATTTTATTCTCCACTTCAGTGGAGGCATCTTTTAGTGGAGACCACGTTCTTAACAGGGACTCGAAACCCCTTGTAGTGAAAATTAAATGAAAGCTACAGTTTAAAATATTTGCTAACTTGAACATTACCTTTATTAATATTCGTATAGATTAGATTTGAATAATTGAATCCCATCCTAATATTGTAGACATCAACAAAATTTATTGTAGCCCTTCATTGCTTTTATTTGGTACCACTGCAAAGTCACATGCTGCACATGAATCTGTTTGGTAGGAGAGATTTAGTCTGTACCGTTACTCTTACTAATTTTATTTTCTGCTCAAGTCGTAGTAAGTTTGTATTTGTTTTAGAAATCCGAGAATTTAATTGTCGGACGAATTAGACCGATAATCACCATCATAAAACATGAAAAAATAGTAAGAGAATAATGCTGCTCTTATAACATTTTTATTTTTGAATTTATATTTGATGAATTATCAGTATATAAATCCTTTATAATGTTAATGAATCAGATAATGTTACATCATTAATTAACAAATATTAATCTTTAAAATAAATATACAAAAATTAACATTTAACAAAAATTACTCATTAATGGCATATCATCATCAGATTCACTTCATTAATAAGAAAATATTATCTGATTTAATAACAGTGAATAAAATTTATATATTAATAATATATCAAATATAATTTTTTTTATGTTTTTTATTCTCCACTTTCAGTGGAGACCACGTTCTTAACAGGGATTCGAAACCCCTTGTAGTGAAAATCAAATAAAAGCTACAGCCTAAAATATTTGCTAACTTGAACATCACCTTTATTAATATTCGTATAGTTATGCTTTGAATAAGTGAATCCCATCCTAATATTGTAGATACCAACGAAATTTATTGTAACCCTTCATTGTTTTAATTTGGTACTAGTGCAAAGTCACATGATGCACATGAATCTGTTTGGTAGGAGAGATTTTGTCTGTCCTATTACTCTTACTAATTTTATTTTCTACTCAAGTAGTAGTAAGTTTGTATTTGTTTTAGAAATCCGAGAATTTAATTGTCGGAAGAATTGGACCGTTGTTGACCAGCCTCAATGGTTCCCCAGAAAGTATAATTAGACCGATCACCACCACTACCCTACTGATTCATTCAAGCAGAAATTCTAAAAATTGTTCCTCTTCCTATTGTTCTCTGGAGTTTCTTATCTACTTTCCTCGAAGCAAAAAATTTCTAGTTTCCTTTCTTCTTGGATCTGTAGAAAAAAGAGTCCCCAGCAGTCCTCACAGCTTTGTTCCAAAGTGATCAGGTCAGCTTCAAGAATTGCTCCTACTTAAGTTGTGTTAATCTTATATGCCATTTTTTGTGCTGCCATTTGCCTCAGCTGCTTGAATTTTTTGTAGAGTCTGAGTGATGGGTGTCTATTTATACTTATTTGTGAAAAGCTTTTAGTTTTAGTGGCCAGATTCAATTTTTAGAAACATCAAGTATAAAATAACATATTTATTTTTTAAACTTCACTTAATCAATTTCACTTACATTTTAATTTTAAGAAAATGTTTTTATTGAAAGAATTAAAAATTATACTCCCTCCTTCCTATTTTCTTCATATTTCATTTTTGGGATGTCTCAAAACTATATCCTTTTTCCATTTTTAAACATCTAAAAAATTATTTTTTATTTTATTTTTTACTTTTTGACATTAAAAATTATGCAATTTTAATTTTATAAAAACTTTAATTTTAATATTAAATACGTTAAAATCAAATATCTTTTTTAAATTCCATGAAAATCAATACCACATAATCAATTTGGGACGGAGGGAATAGTATATATTGACAAACAATTGTTAGCATTAGAAATTGCAACTAATTTGTAAGGATTCATAAGGCACTTATTTGTTAAAGATGGAAAAGGAAAAACTTACAATTTCAACTAAAAATCTATGTACTACAGGCTCCATTCTAGTGTTCTCAAACAATCAAAATTTCGTACATGATAAATAGTTTGAATTTGAAAATTCAAAGATAAAATATAATAATTTGTGTAAATGATATATTCATATAATTTTAAAATTAAAATTTTAATATCTTCTATTTTTTTTAAAAATGTTAGCGTTTCCCTAATTTTTTCACTATCCACACACGAAGTAATCTCACAAAGATTGTTCTCTTTTAAATTGAAATATAAAATTATTGCAATACTTCAGTGAAGAAAATTTATACTAAATTTCTATTATAGATATCACAACCATTTTGTGTATCTTTTTCTTCAATGAGAAATAGAACAAAGCTTCTGCTCCTTCTTCAATATTTTCTGATTCTTTACTTCCTCTCTTTTGAGACCTATCTCTCCAATGAAATGAATACCATTTTTCCAGGCCAATCACTATCTGGTAATCAAACCATCGCCTAAAAAAATGAAAGGTTTGATCGATGAATTCCTTGAATTCCACTGTTGCAGTTCTTGAGAACAGTGGAAACCTTGTTTTGAGAAATAATTGAAACACTTCAGTCATAGTAGCTCGAAGCTTTGATCATCCTACAGATACTCGGTTGTTTGCTGCCAAGATTGGAATAGATATGGTGACCAAGGAAAGGCAAATTATTGATTAAATACAAACAAAACTCAATTATTGAATAAAACTATTTCTCTCTCTTTAGCTTTTTATAAAGCTTCTTTTTTTTTTTTTTTCCTTTCAGTTAATCATATCAACCATATACTGATATTTGATATTTATACTAGAATAATGCCGCTCCTATAACATTTTTTATTTTTCTTATTCTCCACTTTCGGTGGAGAATCATTTGTGCTCCGCCTTTGGAAACATTATTTGGTGGAAACCACTTTAAAATGCTCCACTAATTATTTTAGCTCCTTAACAGGGCCCCATGACAAATTGGACCGTTGTTGACTAGCCACACTGGTTTTCCTAGAAAGCATAAGACCCACTACCACCACCGGTCTGCTAACTCAAACAGCTGAAGCAGAAATACTAAAAATTTCTTGTTTCTATTGTTCCCTGGATTTTCTTTATCTACTTTCCTCAAAGGAAAAGTTTTTGGTTTCTTTTCTTAGTTGGATCTCTAGAAGTGGTGAAAAGAGCCCAGCAGTCCTCACCGCTTGATTCCAAAGTGATCAGGTAAATCGTCTAATCAGGTAAGCTTCAAGACAGCTCCTACTTAAATCGTCTTAATTATATGCCTGTTTCTGTGCTGCCATTTCTCTTAACTATAATTTTTAGTAGAGTTTGAGTAATGAGTGTGTATTTATAATTGTTTTTTTTTTTGCCTTATTTTTATGTTCATGTTTGTTGGTGGAGTGACCGTTGAATATTAGAGTCTTAATTCTTGTGATCAAGTTCAATTTTTTACATTCTTTAATATAAAAAATGCTAGTTTGTTGCATCATCATCATTTTATGATGGAGGATTTGATTCATTTTATGTGGATCTCATATATAAAATCACTCGAAAAATGCTTGTGATTAATTAAAGCGATGAGATATCATTACATAGGATATGATCATGTCAACTTATAATCTTTCTTCACCAGAAAATTGCACTAGATTAAAGTCTCTGTGTAATGGCTAGCTGTTGCAATTGAAATCCATGACTAATCACTGAAAAACATTAATTATTGCCTAAATATTTCCAAGCACTAGGTGAGGATCTCTTACAGAATTTTTGTTTAATTTTCAAACACGGCATAATCACGATAACATAAGACTTTGGAAGTTATCTTATTTTTAAGAAATTATTTTATTGAATAATTAAAATTTATAATATATTGATAAACAATTGTTAGCATTAAAAATTACTACTAATTTGTAAGGATTCATAAGGCACTTACTTTATTTGTCTATATTTTGAAAATAATTTCTTTTTTATATATAAATACTAATCATTTATATAAATACTTTAATTAGACTTTCCACCTATAGAGTTAGATGATTCAGTAGGTGGTAAAGTTACTATTAATTTAGAATCAAATTGCCATAAGAATTGGTTATATTGACTAATTTCTATCTCAAAATGATTTAATATTTCTCAATTGTATTGAATTACTCGCTTTTATTTGTCGTTCAAGTGTTTGAAAGCCCTAACATGAGTTATTCCAAGTAGAAAATTTTTTTCAAGGAGTGACAAAATTCATTAGATCCATCTTTTGAAAGTGTTTATATAAACATTACATTTTTTTACTACTACTAATATTATATTCATTCATGAAAATTTATGTTAATACTAAAAATGAAATCATTATAAATCATATAGGTACTACATAATAAGTTTGTTATTTTAAGAATTAGAATTTCCTTAAGATTAAAATATGACAAGTATCAAGGTTAGAAATTGATTTTATTTCATTTTAATTTAAAAAATTATGTATTTTGATATTTTATATAATAAAAAATTGCAAAAAAAATAAAAAAGAAAAAATAAGCTTTTTAATTGGTAGAACATACAATTATATTCAATCACTGGAAGCACCAATTGAAGATTATGCCAAGCAAAAAATGAGATGAAAGATTAACTGATTATGCATTGCTCTATCCTCCTTTTATGATAAATAACGTTAGTGTTACACGATGTTTCAATGCATAATATACAAATGTATGATTAATATGAAACTCTTTTATTAATAGAAAAATTGCACACTCTTCCATTTTTTCCTTTTATATCATTTGAATAATGTTCATTGTTGTATCAAAATTTTTAAAGTTACTATCTTAGGTAACGTTTGTTCAAAAATATTGAAATTCATCAAATTAATTATTGTTATACATTTAATATAAAAATATTAGGCTAAAACAACAAAAAAGCTCTTAAACTTGACCATTTTACTTAGATAAGTCCTTATAATGTTATTATATCCAAATAAACCTTTAACCTTTAATTTGCATTTAAATAAATCCTTAATATGTATCCAGCCACAAATCTATAATTTGTACCTAAACTAGTCATTCTCATAAATCAATCTTTGGTTTGAAATAAAAGTTTATTTGAATACAAATTAAATAATAAGAGTTTATTTAAGTAAAATAAAAATATAAAAGCTTATTTAAAAAAGTGAAATAGTTCAAAGACTTTTTTTTAATATTTTATCAAAAATATTATTATAAATGATAATTTAACTAAACTTAAAAGTAATTTAAGGATATTCATTAGCCAAATTCATTCGATAAATTTTTATTTAATTATGTATTTAATATTTCAATAATTTTAAAATTGACTTTTAATAATTTCAAATTGGATTTTAAACTTAAGATAAGGGATTACTTAGGTCGAGTCAAGTTTTATCATCTACTTCTATTCATAATATATTCAATTATTTACTTATGCACCCGAGCAAATTTGAAACAATAATTGATACATGCTTCTCTTTATACAAAAAGCTAGATTCAAATCAATTTAAATCCAAATAAAAAATAAATATACTTGATTACTTATAATTGAAATTTCACTTTAGAAATGTTATTAAAAATTAATTAACTAATTCTAACACAAAGATAGTAAAAGTGAGACATTGAAGATGAAGGAAAAAAGTTTAAATAAGAAATTTTTAAATTGTTAAGGAAGATGAATAAGAAATATTAGATTTTGTTTGGGTTACTATTTCAATTCAATTTTTTGTTATGCTTAATCATTTTGGGGTTTAGATAACTACTATGTTATTAACTTTATAAAATCAGTTTAAATCAAGTTAAGTTAGTTTATTTTTATAATTTTGTGTATTATATTAATTTTTAATTAAATTAAACTTTAAAATGAGTAAAAAATTTATGTATACTCAGTTGGAGTTTTTGAATTGTTTCAAATTTGAGTTGATTAATCATTTTCTTAGCTATATTTTTATGACACTTGTAATAAACTTCAAAATAAAATGATAATATAACATAACGAAAATTTAAGTGCAAAAGTTATGGAGATACTAATGATAATCCTAGAAGAAAATCTTATACTCAAATCTTGCAGAGATTAAAGAATATATCTTCTTTTAAGGATATTAAAATTCATATTACAAAAATATCAATTTAGATCAACAAGTTTATAATAGTTCATTTCTTAATCAAGTTGATGCTATATGGGTTAAGGGAAACAACTCAAACATTTCATTTAAAAGAGATACGATAGTTCATATTTAATTAGGAAAACATATAATTAAATATTATTTGAGTTGTTATGATCCCTTTTAATATTCTTTACTCTTTTCAATTGAAGAACTTGGTTGGCATCAAAATATCAAGGAAATCATTTTTCATGGTGGTAATAAGAATAAAGTAACAATTGGAAATATACCATTTTTTTATTTTTGTAGAAGAAATTTTTTGAAAAAGAACTCAAGATAATAATTGTGAATTTAATATTTTTTTGAAAATTTTATTTAGTTAAATTCATTCCTTTTCAAGTTGTCTATACTTAAACTTTTCTTTTTTTAGTTTCTTTTTTTCCTTTACAAATTACATCATCTAACAAACATTGCAGTTACTTTCTTTTTAGATATATATTTATATATATATCAATGATAATATAATAGTAGATAATTGATAACTTATTAATTAATTATTGAAAATTTAAAAGGAATCAATATAATTTAGTAGTAATTATCAGTTATTTAATGGTTATTCAATAATAATTTAATAGTAAATCATATATAACTTAGTAGTAAATTAGTGATAACATAATAGTAAATGAATGATAATTTAGTATTCAACATTTGATAACTTAGTAGTAAATCAATAATAACATATAGTAATTGTATAATAATTTAGTAATAAATCAAGTATTTGTAGTTATAAATGTGTAACAACATAATAATAAATCGATAATAACTTATTAAAAAAAAGAAGTGATAACTTAATAGTTCATCATTGATAACTTAATAATAAATCAATAATAACTTAATAGTAAATTAGTGATACTTTGATAATAAATCATTTTTGGTTTAATAGTAATTAATTGATAAATAACTTAATGGTAAATTAATGATAATGTAGTAGTAAATATTGATAATTTAATAGCTAACCATTGAAATTATAAAAGTTAATCAATAGAGAATAGTTAATCAGTGATAATTTAATAGTAAATTATAGATACTTTAGTATCATTGATAATTTAGTAGTAAATTGATAACTTAATACTAAATCACAAATAACGTAGTAGTAAATTATTAATAACTTAGTTGTAAATTAATGATAATTTAATAGTAAATTAGTTAATCAATGATAACTTTATAATAAATTATCAAAAAATTACTAGTAAATCAATTATAGCTTTATAATAAATAATTAATAACTTAGTTACAAATCATAAAGAATTTAATAGCAAATTATTCATAATTTAATGTTAAATCATTAATAAATTAGTAATAAATCATGAATAATTTATTAGTAAATCATTGATAACTTAGTAGTTAATCAGTAAGATCTTAATTTTTAATTATTGATAACCTTTTTTTATACTTGAAGTTGCTAGAAATTGAGCCTTGGTTACTAGCATAAACAAAACCAAATCTTTCTTCTTGGGAGTCAGGATTAATCTACCATGAAATTATTCAATGAAAATTTTAGTACCAAAATTCTCAATTTGAATAAAGTAATAATATTATTATATAAAAAGAAATTATCTTATATATTTTTAGTAGATTTTTTCAAACTCTATATTTTTTAGTTGTAAATGCATAACAACATATTAATAAATTAATAATAGCTTAATAAAAAATAAATGATAACTTAATAGTTAATCATTGCTAACTTAGTAATAAATTAATGATAACTTAATAATAAATTAATTTAAATTTAATAATAATTAATTGATAAACTTAGTAGTAAATCATAAATTAGTTGTAAATATAATTTAATAGTTAATCATTGAAAACTTAAAAGTAAATTAATATAACATAATCGTAAAACATCAATAATTAAATAGTTAATTAGTGACAATAGAAAATCATGAATAATTTAATATAACTCAATGATAAATTGGTAGTAAATTATGGATAATTTAAGGCAAATATGTGATAATTTCATAGTAAATAATTGAAAATTAAGTACTAAATATATTTAATGTAGCAGTAAATCACTAATAACTTAGTTATAAATTAGTAATAATTTTGTAGTAAATTAGTTAATCATTGATAACTGTGAAATAAATCATCAATAAATTTGTAATAAATAAGTTATAACTTTATAATAAATCATCAGTAAATTAATAGTAAATCATCAATAATTTAGTATTAAATCATTCATAAATTAGCACTAAATTAATGATAATTTTAGAGTAAATCATTGATAATTTAGTTGTAAATCATTGATAATTTAATAATAAATCATTGATAACATAATAGTAAATTAATGATAATTTAATTGTCAATTATTAATAACTTTTTTATATTTGTAGTTGCTAGGGATTAAATTTTGATTATTAGCATAAACAAAACTAAAACTTTTATCCTGAAAGATTAGGATAAATCTAATATGAACTTATTAAATAAAAAAATTTAGTAAAAAAATTTTAAATTTGAATAAAATAATAATGTTATTATATAAAATGAAAATTCTTATATTAGAATGAAACCCACACTTAATTACGGCAATCAATTTTAGATATATGATAATACAAATTTTATCAATGATTACCAAAAATATATTAATAATTATCAAAATTATAGAAAAGGCTATCAAAATTACATCAAAAGATTACCAACATTTTATAAAAAAATTTACCAAATTTGTATTAATGGGTAAAAAAATTTATCATAAATTATCAAAATAATATGGAAGAATACCAAATATGTATAAAAAAGTTACCAAATTTTTTTATTTTTCTTATTCTCCACTTTGGTAGAGAATCATTTGGTCAACACCTTTGGAAACATTATTTGGTGGAAACCACTTTAAAGTGCTCCACTAATTATTTCAGCTTCTTAACAGGGACCCATGACAAATTGGACCGTTGTTGACTAGCCACACTGGTTTTCCTAGAAAGCATAAGATCCACCACCACCATCACCGGTCTACTAACACAAACAGCTCAAGTAGAAATACTAAAAATTGTTCTTGTTTCCATTGTTCCCTGGAGTTTCTTATCTACTTTCCTCAAAGGAAAATTTTCTGGTTCCTTTCTTATTTGGATCTCTAGAAGTGGTGGAAAGAGCCGCAGCAGTACTCACAGCTTGATTCCGAAGTGACCAGGTAAGCTTCAAGGACGGCCTCTACTTAAATTGTCTTTATTATTTGCCTGTTTCTGTGCTGCCTTTTCTCTTAGCTCTTTATTTTAATAACCATAGAACTTGCTTTAGGTGTAACTCTCTTGAAGTGGTAGAAACAGAGTAGAGGAAAGAGCCCTTGCAATTGCAACACTGAATCCACAAACTTTTCAAGACAGCCAATTCAGGTTATTATATGCTTCAACAACATTAACCGCTTCAATGAACTGCACCTTGCCTTTACTGCATTTATTTATGTTCAATAATAACAAAGGAAGAACAAACTTCTAATGTTCCATTGTACAAATAAATTTTGCCTGTATTTAATTACTACTTTTATGGCTTAAATATTAAAAAGACCATAACTTAAAATTAAATAATCATTCAAGTTCATATTGTTTTATTGTAATCAATTGAACTATCAAATATTTATTGCAATCAATAATTAATTTTAATTCAAGAGTTTTTTTTTTATACTAAAACCTTTTTTTCCTAGTCTTTTTCAATTTTTCAACATTACATACCAACATATTAATTTATATCATTATTAAATGGATATGTGTAAATTATATAAATTAAAGTCTTTTACACTCTTCACAATTGAACATATGTCTTAGTGTGCCTTTAAACTGTATTTCTTTTTAAATTTACAGATCGACAGAAAGAAAGAGAAGTAAAAAAATTTGAAGCACAAAGGTGGGATTCTTCTCAGTGAACTTCTGGAGTTTTTGATAATTGAAAGTACCACGTTGATTTCTACATTTTTCTTATTAATTATTTGTATAGGTCGAATTGGTGTATAAGGGAGTCGCAACAGTCTAGCAGCTCCTCATCCTCACATCTTGATTTACTTCAAGTGATAAGGTAATCTTCATGAATTATGCTGTAGTTATAGTAAATTTTGTTTGGAAAAGTCTGAGTTTGTGGGCAGGGATTGGAACATAATTTTATGTCCTTTTCACTATTAGAAAATTTATTTTTGCTGACAAAATTTACCAACGGAATTTTTCATTAGTGATAGATAAGTTGGTATTACTAATCTGTTGATAATGCAAAAAATTCATCGATAATTATTGATGAAATTTTTTGTCGGTATTAATTCCGTTGATAAATTCAATCGGTAATAATTTCGATAGTAATTTGTTGGTAATCTGTTGGTAAAAGTGTTGTTAATTCATCGGTAATTCATTAGTAATCTGTTGATAATCAGTCGGTATTCTCTTGGTAAGACTTATTTTTTAATTATATTTAATATATTTTATTTATCATTTTATTTTTTTAATTTATTTTCAAAGTAATTACATGAATACTAAATATATATAAATAAAAAAATAAATAAAGTGCTCCATTCTATTTATAAAAGAATGTAAAATATTTTGCAAAATTGTTTATGAATTCTATTAAATAAAAATACAAAAAATACATATATGTTACAAATTCCATACAAATATTTGGTAATGGACGTAAGTCAAATAAACAAGTACTTTCAATATAAAATAATAAAAATACCTACAAAATAAAAAAAATTAGAATATAAATTGAAAAAATTAAGGCAAATTAAATTCCTACAACATCAGAATTGAAAATTTAAGGCCAAAAGAGGAGTGTTGTGCCGACCAAGACTTAAAAACATAACTACAGCAAATAGCATAACAGCATATATACCATTTCTCTATTTGCATGTCAATCTTCAGATAACAGGTTCATTCCACGAGTAACAGAAACTCAAGTTACCTTACAATATTAATAGTGATTAACAAATTCATTTTCACAGGCAAAAAGAACAATGATAAAAAGATGGAATATTTTAAAAGATGATGAACCACTATTACCTTCTAAGTATTGTGCACAAATGATATGCATACATTTGGCCTATCAAACTAGACATTATGCTGGAGCATGATTCGAAACCCACAACTTAAACCTAAGATTCAAGGTAACCGGACCTCCCTTGCCATTGAAACAATGCCTCATTGGCGATATCATTTGAATTTAAAATTCTTTTTATATCTTTTTATCACACCTTTCATTATTTTACTCTTACACCTCAATTTTTCTTCCAGCCCACCCAAGACAAGAACCCTGACTTCACCCCTGATCAAAACAATAGTTTAAGAAATTATAACTAAGAAACTAGGACAACTTTTCAGAAATTAAAATTAATTTAATTGTATTTCTAGAAAATAAAGAATTTATTTTGCTAATTGTTTTCCAAAAAATTAAGTTTACTTGCCTTAAAGGACTACCAATTTCGTTTTCATTAGTATAACTTTTCACAATTTCTCCAAATAGTTTACAAACCTCGCTTTATTCATGTATTTTGGGAGCATAATTACCTTTGGCAAAGCTTCGTTAGAATTCATCCTTTCATTTCCAAAGTACCACATAAAATAATACAGTGCCAATTAGAAGGTCAAATCAAATCAGGTTATTGGAATCTAAAGGATATTTTAGCATAAAGGTCTAATTATTCTATATTCAAATTTAAATTGAAACTAACCACCAAAATTTTAGTTACTGAAGCTTTAGCTCAAGTAGCAGTTAGAATTGAAAAGAGAAAATGTTACATCACAAATTAAGTAGGGCCTCAACAAAATATATAAATAAGAAAATTTCAAGGATGAAATTCAATCGATGGTTAATCAAGGAAAGTAGAATTGAAAGAAGAACACAAGCATAACATCTTATATTGGCTTTTCAATCCACAGCGGATCTAACTAATGACATTGGCCATTAAAAGTTGTAATCTAAGCAACAGGATAGGAACTGAATTAAAGAAAAAAACACAAAAGGAAAGAATATAAAGCTGACCTGATGTTGACATTATTGGAGGGGAGCGCGAGAGAAGAAAAGAGAGGGAAGAGGGGAGAGCGCTGTCTTATGAACAGACCGGCAGAACAGCTTCACAGCGACGAGGAGAGGGGGAGAGATTTTGAAGATACTGCAGGTTTAACACACCTCAGCAAGAATTCATTATTTCTACAAGAAATAATATAAAACAAAAATGACAACAAAACACAACTATTCGATACAGAAACTTAATCATCACATCAATTTTAAGCAGAAAAAATTTGAATAAACACTATATGACAAAGCAAACGATCAATTGAAATGCCCTGCCAATCAAAATATACTAAACGGTCCTATAAATAACTAATAGATCAGGTAGGCTGGCATTTATAGATTGCATATTACCATATTATCCAATATTAACAAAGTTAAAAAATATAAACATCTAGAAAAACTTTCACCCGACCAACCATATGTAAATGTAAGCAAGTATTTCACTATGAGGTGACAAATTTCAGCATATATAATTCAATATTACAAATAAAGTCATAGATGTTGCCTTCTATTAAATTTGAAAAGGCAGAAGCAGCCTTCGATCTGAGGGCAATGAAATGGTCTATTTTAAAAGGTCAAATGGAGTTTGCCTAAAAACAACCCAACGCTACTAAGAAGATTAATCTGATTGTCAATGCAGTACCAATAAACAAAAATAACAGATCCAAAGAATCAAACTGTAATTGAGGATTGGATGCAAATCTGACAGATTCCCACACCACCGATTTGAAATGGAAAGAAGTAAATGCCAATAGATCTACAGAATCAAGCCCCAATTTAGTATAAAATCAACAAAAAATTTTTAATTTCAATAATTATTATTAAATTTTAAAAACTATTAAATATAAAAAATTTTCAAGACAAATATAAATCTTAATATACCTCAAACCCAAATTTACTATAAAATCAATATAAATCTTAAACATCTAAAAGTCAATAAATTTATAACAAAAACCCAACAAATCTCAATAATACTCAACAAATAAAAAAAATACTTAACAATACTCGATAAAAAACTCAACAAAAATTAACAAAAAGTTGAACACAACAAAAAATGAACAAATCTATAACATAAAACACAACAAATCTCAACAATCTACAACAAAAAGTTAAACAATAAACTCAAAAAAATAAATTAAAAAAAAAACTTGAAAAATCAAAAAGCTTATTACCAATAGTGGAAAGGGGGATGATCGGCTGACTGGCGAGGGAGAGGGGCGGTCAAGAGGGAAGAGAGAGAGAGATGGGGGTTTGATTTTAGGGATTATGATTTAGGGGGGAAATCCATCAGTAATAGACAATCATAAAAAAAAATTTTCAGAAATTTTTTTTAGCGATAGAATTTTTCTGTTGGTAATTTAGCAATAATAATTTTACACAAGAATTACCAACAGAATATTTCATCTGTAATTTTCATGGTTATTCATGGCATATGTTTACTTACGGATTACCTATGAAATTAAATCCATCAATAAATTCCATCGATAAGTCATTAGTAAACCGTCGATAATTACCGGTGAAAAAATTCTGTCCGTAAAATTTCGTCAGTAATAAAGGCATTTCTGCTGGTGTTTTAGTCGTGGGACATGGTTCCTAGGTCATCCATTTATGTTTGAACTTTAGTTTGTAAACTTAATATGTTGATCAATCTACTATTGAATTAATCATCAATATGGCAATTTTGATGTAGGGACATTAAAGCTAATACAATGTGTGACTTTGTTGGGCCAATCCTTAAAGTTATAATGTTCATCGGCCGTCCAGCTATAAGATATCTTAATTACCGCAGAAAATTCAACAAATATGTGGATGATTTCAAACAAGCTCAAGCAGATTTGCTAGCTAGGGAGGCAGATATTCAACAACAATTGCAAGACGAGCATCATTTTGGGAAAAAGCCAAAGCAGGAAGTTGAAAGTTGGCTCAGAAAAATAAAGGAGAAGCTTGCTGATGCTCAACGTGTTGAAGATAAAGTCAGTAAAGGGAAATCTCTCTTTCGTTCTTGCCTAGGGAAGCGTGTTTATGAAGCGACTCAAGCATTGAAGGAAGTGAAAGCCGAAGGTCATTTCTGTGGGAGCTTGGCGGTTAATGACCTCTCTATCACAGTTGCTCAACTACCAACATCAGAATTGGCAGGTGAGACTAATGTAAAAGAAGAAATTTATAACTATTTGATGGGAAATGAAGTTAGAATAATTGGAGTGTGTGGGATGGGAGGAATAGGCAAAACAACCATTATGAAGCATGTCCATAACAGGTTGTTGGAAGAAACCAAGTTTAGCAAGTTGATTTGGGTAACTGTAACCCAAGACTTCGATATTCGAAGGCTGCAAAACAACATTGCAAGACAATTGATGGAAGAGTTGTCACATGAAGAAGATACAACCATACGTGCAGCAAAGTTATCAGAAATGTTGAGGAAACACCGGAGGTATGTGCTAATATTGGATGATGTATGGAGCAGCTTTTCTCTTCAGGACATCGGAATCCTTGAGCCAACAGCAGATAATGGATGCAAATTAGTGTTGACAACACGTTCAGAAGAGGTTGTTAGAACAATGGGCTGTAAGAAAGTCCAAGTACTGTGTCTTTCTGCAGATGAGGCTTTTCAGTTATTTTTAAGCAAAGCTGGACAAGACATGTTGCCTAATCCAACTTTAGAATCGATTATGAAAGATATTGTGGGAGAATGTGATGGACTTCCTCTTGCAATTGTCACAATAGCTGGTTGTATGAGGGGAATATCTAATCCTCTTCTGTGGGAAAATGCTTTGGATGAGTTGAGAAGTAACATCAGAAGCATCCAGGTGGTGCAAGAAAAATTGTTTAGATGTCTAAAATTTAGCTATGATCATCTAAGACAAACAGACCAGGGTTGTTTTCTATGTTGTGCTTTGTATCCTGAAGATTATGAATTCAAAAAAGAGGAAATCATTGACTATTGGATGGAAGAAGGACTTATAGATGAAATGGGAACTAGAAAAGCAATGGAAGGTTGGGGTCATTCTATTTTGCAGAAGCTCATAGAGAATTGTTTGCTAGAAAGGGTTGGGGAAGGTACACAAATAAAGATGCATGATGTTGTTCGAGATATGGCATTGGATATTACAAAAAAAGGTTTTTTGGTAAAAGCTGGTAGGCAATTGAAAGAGCTACCAAATGAGGAAGAGTGGACTGAAGATTTGGAGAAGGTTTCTCTAATGAACAATTACATATCAACAATTCCTCCAAATATGAAGTCTCCAATATGTCAAAAGGTCACAACCTTGTTACTCTCAAGAAATTCATTGAAAGAAATTCCAGAATCTTTCTTTGGGCACTTTCCTAATCTTAAGATTCTTGATCTTTCTTATAATCCTCTTACGAAGTTGCCGAATTCTATCTCTAATCTGGAGAGTCTCACTGCATTGGTGCTGCATGGTTGTCGCCATATAGATAATCTGCCATATTTATTGAAGCTTCAAGCTTTGAAGAAATTGGACCTTGGAAGAACTTCAATCAAGGAAATCCCTCAAGGTTTGGAAATGTTAGTAAATCTTAGGTATCTCAATCTTGGACTTACTAACTATTTGAAAGAGATCCCCAATGGATTATTGTCGAAATTGTGTCGTATTCAGTATTTGGCAATACATCCAGCATCAACAGGAGCGAAAGAGATAAGGGAATTGAACAAGTTGGAAGTTTTTGAAGGTTGCTTTAGTGACTTGGGTGACTTGAACACGTATTTTAGTCAGAGAAAAAGGCTTCATAAATACTTTATTTGGCTGAGCCCCAATCCCTTGTTGAAGGGTGTGTTATTCAATGAACAAGTTTATATTGGATACATGGATCATAGTAATATTGTTGTATTTGTGGGTTATAATATTAATTCGGGAGATGGTATTAGACTTCCATATGATATTCAACACTTAGGATTTATTGAGTGCAAAGGTTTGAGAAGCTTAAACGATATTTGTGGGTTGAAAGATGCAACTAATTTGAAGGGATGTACATTTGCGAAATGTGAGGAGTTGGAGTCCATTTTTCCATCGGGTTGCCAACTTCAAACACTTGAGTCACTAAATCTAAGTGATTTGCACAATTTGAAGGCTATAGTTGGAGAGTCATCAGCAGGTGCATTTTCCAGCCTCAAAACAATCTGTATATTCAGTTGTACAAAAATAAAGAATTTGTTCTCAGCTAAGTGGGTTCTGCACAACTTGGAAGAGGCCACTGTTGGGCATTGTGACGAAATGGAGGAAATAATAGTATCAGAGGAAGAAGGAATAGGTACCATCAAATATAATCTTCCCAAATTACGGATATTGCATTTGGTGGAACTACCACATTTGAAGAGCATTTGCAGTAAAAATGGAGTAATGGTTTGTGATTCTCTCCAATGCATTGATATAAGGAATTGTCCAAAGCTAAAGCGGCTTCCCCTGTATCTTCCCCTGCTTGACCATGATACGGAAAAACCATCTCCTCCTCCTTCTCTCAAGGAAATCCGCGTGCATCCAAAAGAATGGTGGGAATCATTGGAGTGGGACCATCCCCATGCAAACAATGTCCTTCTACACTTCCTCAAGTTCCCGCATAGCCTCTTCGAGCAACCGATGGAGGAGTATCTTTAAAAGCATAATGTGAGTCTTTTTTAACTATACAATTGCAAATCTAGTTTCATCTTATTATTTTCTTTTTATTTCATTTTTGTAGAGTTTAACTATAACATGCTAACATGCTAATACTAGTATTTAGTATCACTACTTTTTCTTTGCTAGATGCATGAAGAGGGAAGAAGGTTGCATGCGTTATTGCTGAAGTAAATCATAATCCAAACATCTATTGCCTTCTGATTTTGATGTTCTTTACTTTGTAATTCTTTTTTTTTTTTTTGGCCAGTTGCAATTATGGATTCAATTCCTAAAAATTGCGTCGTTGATTGTAATGGACAGATGATGTTATGTACCTTTCTTTCTGATGTAATATAAGTAATAATAATGTACAGCTGTCCAGGTAATCATCTTTTAGAAGAAATTTAAACATCAAGTGGGTGAATAGATGCAGTTTTCAAACAATGAGTTCAGCTGCAAACTTTCCCTTATAGTGTTTATTTCTCCAATCTTGTCAGACAAAACTATAATTATCAAAATGCTAAACTAAACTTTAACTGGACAGGAGGATTTCATTTACCTGATAACTCAGCTTTAGTCTTCCTTTCCCAGTAACAGAGACGATAATCTGGTCTTAATAATTGTTCCATTTTTGGTAACGTTTGTCCAATTTACAAATTTTTCCTTTCGCATGTGTAATTTTTGTCTTTAAAAATTCTATTTAATAAATAATTTTTTTGAATACAATGATAATAATATTAATAATAATAAATGCTAATAGTTTAATTTTGGTTTTGGTATATATATAAGTAAAATTTGATAATTTTGATATAATTTGGGTTTTGATAACCTTTGATATGTTTTGATAACTTTTGTTAAATGTGTCATAACCTTTAATAATATTTTAATAACTTTCGATATAATTTTGGTACCTTTGGTATTAGTTTGGTAGCTTATGATATATTTTTTTAACCATTGATGCAAATTTGATAATTTTTTTATAAAATTCTGATAACCTCTTAATGTAATTTTTCCAACTTTCATATAATTTTGGTAACTAGATATATTTTTGGTAATCATTGATAAAATTTAAGCCATCCCGTTGCAAAAAGTGGGTTCCATTCTAATATGAGATAAATTTTTTTATATAATAATATTATTGCTTCATTCAAATTTAGAATTTTTTACTAAATTTTTTTATTAAATAGGTTGATGATACGTTTACCCTAGACTAACATGATGAAAGTTCTAGTTTCATTTCTGTTAGTAACCAAAGTTCAATTCTTAACAATTTCATATACAAAAGAAAGTTATCAATGATTTGCAATTAAATTATTATTGATTTATTATTATGTTATCATTGATTTACTACTAAGTTGTCAATTATTTACTATTGAATTATCAATGATTTACTGCTAAATTATCTTTGGTATACTAATTTATGAATGAATTACTATTGATTATTGATGATTTAATACTAAGTTATTGATAATCATTATATACATAAAACTCAAATATTTTATAATAAATGCCAAGTCTTTTTTACATAAATTATAAATTTATACATCTTAATTTTGTTACATAAAACACAATAAATCTTTGATTGTCTAATATTTATTTGGATTATTGACTTTTGATTTTATTGTATTCATTTTTTCAAACCATTATATATATATATATATATATAACTCAAATATGTTATAATAATGCCAAGTCTTTTTTACGTATATTATAAATTCATACATCTTAATTTTATTACATAAAACACAATAAACTTTTGAATGTCTAATATTTATTTGGATTATCGACTTTTGATTTTTTTGTATTCATTTTTTTAAAACTATTGTTTTTAAAATATATTGATTAACCTTTTAATTTTGTAACATTTATATTTTTGACTTTTGATTTTCTTGTGACTCTTCTCTCTCTTTTAAGGATGCGAGTTATATGAGTGTCTTTTATGTATATGTTACTCTTTTTTCTGTCAATTATTGTTTGTCATATTACTTTAATTATTGACTTTTGATTTTCTTGTATTCATTTTATTTAAACCATTATTTGTTAAAATTTATTAATCAAACCTTCGATTTTGTAACATTTATATTTTTTAATTTTGAGTTTATTGTGATTTATGGTTTTAACAGTGAGAGTTATATGAGTTTCTTTCATGTCTTTTTTACACTTTTTTCTCCCAATTCTTATTTGTCATATTACTTTAATTATCGATTTTTTATTTTCTTGTATTCATTTTTTCTAAAACCATTATCTGTTAAAATTTATTAATCGAATCTTTGGCCTTATAACATTTATATTTTTTACTTTTAATTTTCTTGTGACTTATGGTTTTCCATCCCTTTTAAGGATGAGAGATTATATGAGTGTCTTTTATACTTCTATTACACTTTCTTCTCTCAACTCTTATTTGTCACTTTATTAATTATGAGATTTTGTTTTTTATTGTTTTGTAGTTTTGATAATTTTATAAATTTGCAATTTTTTAATCATGATCTATGATTTTTGTTTTTTGGCATTTCACATTTGTTTATTAGTCAATTGATGTATTTTTTAGTGTTTTTACTTTTTTACCATGATCTTTTTTTTTGGCAGTTTAAGTTTGCTATTAACGATTACTAATCATGAGGTTTGTTTATTATTATGTTTTTATTTTTATACTTTTTTTAATTTTTAATTATGATTTATGATTTTTTTGCATTTCAAGTTTGTTTCTTAGTCAATCAATGTATTTTTTATTGTTTGTATTTTTATAATTTTTATCACATTTTTTTTTATAGTTTAAACTTGACTATTAATAAATTAGAATATACCATGATTGATGATTATCTCTTAAAAATATAATTGGATGATCAAAATTTATGTTTGTCAATTGTGAGATGTTTATAATTTTAAGACTAAACAACATATTAGTATAAAAATGATGTTGATTGATAAAAAGGTATATATGTTTTTTCTTTGTTTTTGTCATGTTATTTTCTTATCGTTAATTTTTTTATTATTTTTTAATTAAGTCGTAGGCATGAATATTGTTTTTTATATTATTTACTTATAACTTTTGATTTTCTTTTTTTTAGATTATATAAATTTTTTAAATCTTTTATATATTTTATTTTTTAGATTTTTGGTACATAACATGTTACTAATCATGAGATTTGTAAGCATCGTCTTTATGTTTGCATCTTTATAATTTTTTATTTTTTTATATGATCCATTTTCAATGTTTTTACTGTTTAAATATATCTATTTGGTATTTGAGACACCTTTAGAACCCATTTTTGTTTATGCCTTTTGAATTTCTTTTATTAAACGATAAATAAATTGTTACAATGAGGACTGAAAGATTTGATTTATCAATTGTATCATAATTTTCATTTTATTTTTAAAGTATGAATTAATATTTTATTTGCATTTTATTTTTAGGGAATCAAGTTAACATAAAATTTGCTTCTTTTTCTATTTTTTTTCATTGTGTTTGATTTTTTTACAAGAATTTTAAATTTTTGGTAATGTATGAGTTAATTGACAGTGGAAGGTTATATTCAAGTTTCAATATTTGGATAAGATTTTGATTCCTTTTATTATCCCATGTTTTCCTCATTTTTTTTTTTCTCTTAATCCATTTATTGATTTTTTTCTCTCTATTTCTTTCTTTCCATAATTTTCATGTGATAATTAAACAATAAAATATAGATATTTAATGTTTTTATATTCATTTATATTATTAACAAATTAATGTTATCTTTAGAAGATTTCTTTTGACTTTTAATGGTTTCTGTAAGTGATTATAGCTTGATTTTTTTTATGTTAAGGTAGTAGCGGAGATTTTTCAAAAACCAAATATCAATTTAGTTTTTTTTCTCAATAAAAAAGCATTATTCGTCATTTGGGTAGTCATTTTCTTTCTTATTTTTAAAATTTTGAAATTAATTAAAATGATAGATATAAAGGTCTAAAAGGATAAAACTAATTAAACTAATTATAATATGACTAAAATAATCATATAATTCTTATGATTTTATAATATGTCATGTACAACATACTTATAAAATTAATAAGTTTTGCAAAATAAATGCATTTTAAAATGAAGACTTTTTTTTTAAATTTTTAGTATTTAAAAATGAAATGTCACACTTGCAATTACATTCATGGTTTAAATTTATGTAGTTTGTGTGTCATAACGTCTAGATCAGGGGATCTATCGTTAGACGTTAACTTGAAAGAGTCATCACTAATCTTTTTTTATCTAGGTGCGATTGATCACCTAAAAAAACTATCCTTTCAAGGAATACATAAGCCTAAAGGTCCCTAAAAGAATAGGTTCAGGTCTACTAACCAGAATAGGGTTCGAGAGTATGGTTACGTGTGAGGAAGGTTATAGCACCCTCACAACGCCCATCAAAAGATGGTACCAGCTTAATTTTCAGTTATCCAATAAGCCTTAAAAATTTACCAAGTAATTAATTATTGGAAATTATTCTCAATTGACTCTAATACTTTTAGTAGAAAATTGAGAAAATTCTCTCACCTCAAGAGTATGCAAGGAAACTACTATTTCACTTGTAGAGGCTCTATCGTCAGATTATTTAACATTCAAGAAAATTCAAAAAGGAAAAGAAATAAAATGAAAAAAAAAATGAATAATGATTCAGCTTTAGATATAAATCCTTTTCTCTTCAAAAACTCATTGCTTTTGTATAAGAAAAATTGATACTTTCAACTTTTCCCCAAAATGTTTTTCTGAAACTTTAATTTCCAGAAAAATTGATACTTTCAACTTTTCCTCAAAAATAATTTTTAGAAAACTTATTTTCAAGGAAAATTGATACTTTCAACTTTTCCTTAAAATGTTTTTTTTTTATTTTATTTAAAGAAAATCATTTAAAAAAATAAAATAAAATAAAATAAAATAATGAATACTAAATAATTCTAATCTAATCAATAAATAATAATAATAATAAATAAATAAATAAAAACCTTTGGAATGGCTCAGCTCGGCTGGGAAACAGCTCAGCTCAAGACAAAAGGTGGCTCGAAGACACGGCTCGGGGAAGTTGGCTCGACTCCAGGGATCGGCTAGCACGTAGGTTAACGAATCGGGTTGGGTCAGCCCAAACAAAAACACGTGGATCCTAGTAACCTATTAACACTAAAACGACGTCGTTTTGCGTAGGTATAAAAGGCAAAAAACATGTTTTTTTTCTTTAGATGCGCCTTCCCCTTCTCTCTCTTCCCCTCAGCTTTCTCCTCCTTCTCTCTACCCGAAGAACCAACCTAGAATCCAGTTGAATTTCCATCAGATTTTGGAAAATAACGTCGAAAACTTCAAAGTT